TCAATGCAACTGCTGATTTGATGATTTCTTGACGACGTTTATCACATACAACTCTTAAAGAACGCGGCAAAGAACATTTATTTAAAAATCATATTATTTTTTCAACACATCAATTCTATTGTAGAGTATTAGACGAAATATCTAACCAATCCTGCTGAGTTGGGCATTTTATACTTTCAAGACTAATCATGAAATAATTGCTGTTTTTGATCAAATATGAGACGGGATATATGAAATTGAGTGGAGGAACAACAAATGGAATAGGAAGATAAATCTCTCTGTGATAACAATGTTTCTACACTGTTACCTCTTTATATATAACTTCAGGAGTTAAATCATTTGTTACATATCAAAAGTATTGGTATCTATTCTGCAAAAAATGTTAATGGCACAGTATAACGGTGTTTAGTGACAAGAAGATGCTCCTCCTGTTTTTCTGTATTAAGGACATCTATCTCAATAAGTGCTAAAATTGGATATTCTGATATTTTAAAATGTTTCTGGTTATACAAGTTGTACTAAATCATCAAAGAAAACCAGCTGATCTTTGTATACTATAATCTTGTACCAAAGTTCATGAATCTAAGATAATAACAAATGTATGACAAGTGAGTTCTGTTTCTTACCGCTAGCCATGCTCAAAGATTTGAATATGAGCAATAAACAAAAACGTTGCATGATCGTGCAACACATCAATTAGCCTTTGATAGAACTATTCCTTGCAATCAATGACGTTGAATAAACGTTTTACGTGTTAGAATATGATCCAGATCTAGAAGTAAATTTTCTGTAGTCAACAATTGTGCTTTAAATAGTAATAGAGCTGTTCACATTATTAAGCAGCTGCAACATGCAGAAATGACAAAAGAAAAACTAGTAAAAAAGAAAAATTTTATATATGATACCAAAAAAAAAAGAGTTGATAGAATTCAAAATAGTGTTACCATCACGACGTCTTAAAGAAAAAAAGACATTGCATTTCTCTATGGTCGAATGCCTGCTGACTTGAAACTGTTGTATCGCACTATAATTTCATTTTTCTTGCATGCATGTAAAAGTGCATTGTTAATGAAGTCAAAAGATTCCAGTATATAACTTTAATAAAGTATATTGCTTCAAAAAAAAAGAAAGAAAAAGAAAAAAATCGAGATACAAAATGGCACTAAATAGTAGAAAAAGCATTAGTAATGAATCGAGTTTGAAGAGCAAGCTTTCTTGCATGATGGAATGCATACAGCCATAAATTTTTCAAGGCTCAACTGTAACAGTAATTGACAAAGTAAAAATTAAAGATAATCGAAATGCAGAATAACTAGAATTAATATAAGTGAAAATAAGATTGTATTTGTACTTGAAACAAAATGCTTTTACACAGTGACTTGTGGAACACCTTCAAGAATTAAATAACTTCTGTTTTAGTAAGATTTATATATACTTTTATATGATTCAGAAAAGATGATTAAAAGTAATACAAATAAATCTTTTTTTCTGCGACCTCTTCCATATGCTACTTGAGGAGTGTTGGTATGAATGTTATCTAATTTCGCATCTACCTCCACACTCACCGACACTCCACACCTTGAGGGTGGATGTGGGTGCGGGTAAATGAACACTCCAAGGGGGAAAACGCGAGACTTCGTACTTCACTTGTACTTCACTGTACTTCAGTTGTACTTCAGATTTTTTGAAGTAGATGAAGTCTCGCTTGTCCCCCCTTGGGTCTGACCCAGCCCGTAACCCGCGGGTGGGTCCACCGGTCGGATAGGTTGAACAAAAACGGGTCAACCCACCAATATCTTTGGTACTTACGTGCATTCAGGGAACTTTTTTAATAAAGGAATGCTTTTTCAACGATATCTTTTACCAGTTTTATCTTATAAATGATTCAATTCAGAACTGATATAAGGCTAATATGATGGATGCAGCCGGGGATGGCGTAGTGGCACTATGCATCTGATTGTTAGTCAGATATCAGAAGGTTCGATTCCTTCCTCCGGTACAGTGTCTTCGGTGTCAAGATATACGGTATCGGAAGAATAAACAAAAGGAAGAACAGCGATGCACGCCAACGTCGTCATTACTGCCTCGATTTCGATTTTCGTTCTGTTCGTTTTCACTTCCTTGTCATTCTTTCTCTGTTTGTTGTCGTAATCTTGTCTGTTGACTCCTATGTTCGTAAGCGTTCGCAAAAATTGTATGAAAAACTACAAAAAAGATGGGATGTCACGAATAAAATCCGCATAATAAAAAATGATGGATGCAAAATATTGTCCAGACAGAACTTACATATAACCAGGAACACAAGTATTAACAAACAAAAATAAACTGCTGAAATTATTTTTAAAAAATCAACCATGAGATTGGATCTTTTAATCTGCATCTTTCTTCTTTTAGCCAAGGCGATAGTTTAATTATTTATGGGAAAAGAACCTTTTATTATAGGAAGGACCTTCTAATTTGTTGAGAGTTTTATATCATCCATTCTGTTTAGAACAACTCCTGATTCTCACTAAAATCGTATTTTTAGATCAAAGCTGGAATTAGAAAATTGCCGTATATCCATAAATGCTCTCTTTGAAGAGATATTTCGATATAAACGTAACCCATTGGGCATCCAAGCAACTATCAGAATTTAGGCCAAAAACTCAAAAAAGAATCTTGAAAAAGTGAATACAAGAAGAAGCTATGATATTGGTCGAGTACTAAAAAATCTACAAAATAACTTGACTTCGGTACTTGACAATGTAAAACATAGAAATATGTTTTTGCTTATACTTACATAAAAACAATATTTTAAATATACGGACGCGACGTGAGACAGATGGAATTATATCCAAACTCAAATGGTTTAGTCAGTTTAGGCAGCAGATCAAAGTCCAAACCCAATATTATTAAGCCAAACCTAAATTCAACATCTAAACGGGTTGTACTTGGTAAACTTCTAGTTAGTATCGAAGGTATTGGACTTATCGAGTATTCTTTATAGGTTTTTTTCATTTATTCTAATACAATAAATGTTAATTATCAGAGGCATAAGAAGGAAATAGTACTCAAGCTTACCTCTGTTAAAACAATAATTTTTATATGCATGTTGCGATTGTGTATATCTATGTCTAGGGCGTGCGAACAATATTTATATATATCAGAGCTTTGTGTGGAATGCCAAAGTCTCATGGGACAAGCAGCCACTTATCTAAACATTTTTTGTAAGGAACGAAGTAACTATTTTTGCCGTATAGATTGCGTTCTTTTCTATTGTACTAGAGTTAACGAAAATAAAATTTCTATTCTGTAAATGTTTATGTATGGAAGAAGTCTGTGTGCGAGATGTGAGTACAAGAGAAGAGCAAAAATAAAATATACATCGAAGACAATATGATCTAATTTTATCGTCACATATCATAATCAACAGCTCTTATCGAAATTTTATTTTTATGATATTAGTTAAAGAATGATCAAATATCATAGAAAAATAGAGTATTGTTTTTGCTATGATTACATATAAAGAGAAAGTTTGCTCAAGTTTTTTATACAGAAATATAGTATCTTTGCCAGTACTTTCGGATTTCTTCCAGTAGTATAATCTTTTTTACAATTAGTCAAACCGATAAATGTACCATTGAATTTCACTTTTTCAATCTCATCTCATTACATGGAAAGTTCCGATACATGTGCATCTGTCAGTATCAAATATGAAAACGAGAGAATAAAAACTGTAATATCGAAATAACGACTAATTCAACATTATAGAACAAAAAGCAAATAGGTATGTGTGTCTACGTGATATGAAAGAGAGAGAAAAGAACCGTGATGAATGATGATACTCTTCAAAAGGGGAAAAAGAAAGCATTAAAAGAAAATCAATCCGTATATCATCGTTTTGAAAAGCAAACATTGCACAGTTAAAACTGTATCGTTTCTCAGATTCAACTGAAAATAAGAAAAAAACAGGCAATCAACAAGAAATAATGAATTTATATAAGACACAACAGAAATAACTAATGAGATATAAAGGGTGATAAAAAAAAGTCTAAATGTCTCCGCTATATTTTCATCAAATAGGCTGATTTTTTACCACTAATAACAGAGTGTTTATAGATCATATTCATAAGAAAAACATTAATAAACACTGCTTTGGAATATTATCATTGACGTCAATAAAGAATTGTAACCATTCACAAATTATAGAAAAATTACATTGCAATTTTCGTAACAAATTCTTACTGTTTATAGCTGAAAATTTCAGAATGCAATGAGTTACACGATATGTATCCATGGTATCAATTCCACAATAAATGACACTTCTGTGAAGAACTAATAGAAAAAAAAATATGTATCACCACTCTCACCTAACATTTGAACGAATATTTTGTGACTTGCCGTTCTCGAGATCACTGAGATACAAAAGGCTAACTTTTTATGTGTACGTCCAGCTATAAATAAATAAAGAAAGAAAACTCACAACACAATACTCTAAAGGTAATTCACACTGTAATTAGCTTTTCTTGTCAAGTTTCGAAATCATTAAAACGATGACAAGCTGATTTTATTCATCGAAGCCGGATGGACAACTCATAGTAGACAATAAATTATACAGATAATTAAGCGATAAATCCATAATATTCTCTAAAATTGCTTTACTGTTTCTTTTATACTTCGATCATTTGATTGATCAAAATGTAGATAATTCAAGTTTCCGATAAGAGCAACACGGAAAGAACTCATTGTTGTGAATTGTAAATATCTCGAACGGTAAATCGTTGTAGAATATATCATAGAAACGATTATTCGTTTTTTTTTTAATGAAATATAGATTTTTCCGTTTAATAATCTATTAGAATTAATTTGAATAAAAATTATAATCTGTTAACAGACTTATCATGGAACAATCAATTACGTTAAAGATCAAATCATTGTTCGATTGTTTTATGTGTTTTTTTTTTGTTTCTATTATTTTTTCTTCAAATAAAAATAAAATGATGATAAAAATTTGAATGTTTTTATTTAAGTTTAACATAAGAAGGAAGAACAAATTTAACTTTGCCACTAGGTAAATTACGTGATACTTCTTGATCTTTTACTGTTTTAATAAGATCTTTTTCTAATTGAGTTGCTGTTCGATCCATTGCAAACAATTTTAAAGCAGCTTGAACATCTAAATAAATATTTTATTTAATATACAAATAAAATTTAAATTTCAGTTTTCATACTTTTGCCTTTTTTACCAAGACCACCTGGTAAAATTTTAACTTTATATTTATAATTATTTAATGTAATCCATGGAGCACAAACACCAATAACATTTATTAATGGATCATCAGCTGTTGGTTGTCCAGTAAGAGTAGAAAGTAAACGAGCATCTTCAGATAATCGTTTTGCTTTTTCTTCTTCATCTTCTTGTTGTTCACCTTCATCGTCATCAATAATTGCAGAAGCTACAGCTGCTGATTGTGGTCGAGATTGAATAGATTCATTCTTTTTTTTATTATCTTTATTTTGTACCTTTTGTTTCTGTTTCTGTTGTTGTTCTTGTTGTTGTTGTTGTTGTTTCTTTTTTGATTCATTTCCAGCTGAACCTAAAAGTTGCATTCGAACTTGTCGATCTTCTTCATCTTGATCTTTATATTTTTCTTTAATTTTTTTCAAACGTGCTCGTTGACCACGTTTTAATGGTTGATTTGCATTATTAGATTTAGCAGATGGTTTTTGTTGACTTCTGGATTCTTTCTTTTGATTATTATCAATTTTTATTGATTTTTCTTCAGAATACGTTACTTGAGTATCAGGATAAGCAGATGTTTCGTCTTCATCAGAAGATGATGGAAGAGGAGGATTGGAAACAGATTCTTGAGTTTGTTCTTCTTCGTCGTCTTCTTCTTCTTCTTCTGGTTGTTGTTCATCGGGTTTATTTTCATCTATATTTTCTTCATCTTCACCATCTGATACTTCTAATGGAGTTTCTTCAACCGATTCTTGAGTTTCAATATTTGATGTTTGCTTTAGATCCTAGAAGAATTTGTATTAAAAATAATAAATACAATAGTCCTCGCAATGATAAGAATAATATATTTTTGATTTTTTTTTACAATACTAAGAAGGAGATCCAGTCATAACTTAGGGTCTGTTGAGAGTAGAAGAAATCTAGAAAGATTCTTCTCCAAGTGCTGCCTTTTTGAAATTATAGCCATTACACTGGATTTTTTATCTTTTGTACGATGTTTATAGAAAAATCGGAAGAACTAATTTTGGCCTAAAACATTATCCATAATAGTTCTTGCAGTCATTAGAATCTCCTAATCACTGCAAGAGCTATCTAGGAACAAAGTTTTAGGCCAAAATTCTCTAGCTTCAACAGACCTACACAATGACTGAAGTCTCATCTCAAAAGCGAGGTATAACCTTGAATGGCTCTTTAGTAAGCATCGAACTCAACTTCAAATAGTAGCTTGAATAGATAATACAATTCTCTATCAAATGCATTCCGCATTCAATTTTCATAAATGGAATATGGGAAGAAGGTTTCTAAAAATATGAAAATGGTGATTCTCAGGTTCAAGAAAATTTTGAGAATTAGTTTTCGATAGTACTATCTGAAAGAACACAGCATTCTGAATCGAATGAGAGATCACTGCATTTTCTACGACCTTTCCCTACAAAGTTACAAGCATCATAAAAAAAACCATAATAATGAAATGTATGAAACAAAATTCTGTTAAAATGATTAATCTGAAACATTAGTTTATCCTACGAGATACACTAACAATGGAAGATCGTGTGCTGTAAGTTAAGAAGATTGATCATATTTGGATTCAATGAAAATTCTCAATCTTAAACTAACTATTTTAAAATTCAAGCTGTTCATAGGATGTTCGGATCGAAATATTCGAATTTCAAGGTATTCAAAGTCTATGTCGTGTGGCTACACTTTAAAATGTCAGAAGCATTGAATTGAATTTATCGATCCGTGCACGATATGAACAGCTTATATTTTCGATTAGTTCGTTTGGTAATGAGAGCATTCATTTGATCAATCTTACAGTACACGACTTTTCATTGTAAGTCAAATTTAGAATTATAAAATAAATTAGTGATAAATTTTTATACTTGTTCATCTAATATGGCTTTTGATTTTCGTTCTTCGCTATGTCGATCAATAGCTGCTTGATCACTTTCATCAAACTAATAGACAAAAAAAAAAATTAAATATAAATAAATTTCTTTTCTCTTAAGTTTTACTTTAAAAAGTAGAGCAAAACCAAAATTTAAAGGTTCACTTGGTAAATAATTTCGTTTTCCTAGAAAATAAAAATCAAAACATATTAAACAAATAAATAATATAATTCTCAAACCTCGAATCATAAAAGCACCCGTTGTAAGATATTCTCCTGTTGGTGCAGTTTTTGATACTTGATCATGTTGAACCCAATAAGCTGGTGCAGGTACTTTAGCTTCCCATGCAGCACTATGACAACAAGCTAAAATTCCTGCTTCTTGTAAAGTTCTTGGTGGTACTTCATTACCAGTTGGATTTTTAATAATAACACTTGTTGCACCATGTAAATCAGCATGAACATATAAATCACCAGTACGTAAATGACGTTTAATTAATAATTCATTTTGTTGTTGATCACGACCACCTAACACAATATAATTATCCGAACTAATAAACCAATAGAATTTTTCAAACCTAAATAAAATTCAATATTTCTTTTTGAGATGATTCTCATCATAAAAATCAATAAACTATAGTACATTCGAAAGTAAACATTTAGCTCTATCTAATGAACTATAAATCACAAAATTGACATTCTTTGGAAGGGGGACTTAATCATGTACGATTCTCCTGTTAATACATCACTATGAAGGACAGATGCAAAACTTTCACTCACGATATAAATAAAAAAACAAAAATTTACCAATAAGCTTTACGAGCTTTTGTTACAGTTGCAACACGTTCAACTTCTTTGAGTAATTCATTTGTTCGTTTTGATGCAGATTTAATAGCCTAACAAAAACAAAAAAATTAAATATAGAAGAAAAGAAATATTTGTTTTGTTTTGAATATTAACGAACTTTTTCTCCAGCTTCTAATGTTCGTACTTGTTTTTGTGATGATTGTTTTTTATGTTCGAAATATCTTTAATTAATTGAAAATAACAAAAACAAAAAAATAATTATGCAAAAATAAAATTCACCTTTTTGCATTTGCAAATGCAGTTAATGATAGATCAACATCAATTTTAACGGGTGCATTAGAACTTTTTCCACTATTATCATCATCATCTCCGAAAGGATCTCTATGATAAAATCGAATAAAAAAAAATCCGTTTTTTTTTTATTATAATTTCTTTAATTACCTAAGAAGTAATGCTAAATGGTTAATATCAAATTTAATAGATTGTATAGCTCGTGCTGTTGGATCTCCGGATTGTTTAGCTTCATCAACAAGTTCTTCAATTTCTGGCCAACTCATTTGATTAGCTACTGCTGTATTGATAGCTGCCATTGCTCGAGTAACCTACAAGAAATTTATAAATGATATGAATATTAAAACAAAAAAAAGTAAAAAATTTACAAGATCGGCATTCATTTCAATTAAATATGCTTTACGTACATCTTCATTCTAAAAATAAAATTGTCAATTATTTTTTCGAAAAAACTCAAAAACAATGATTTTCTTGAAAATTCAATATCTCAAAATGGAAACATTCAGTTGATCTGAAATTTTCAGAACAAAATACTTATGCTCTGGACCTGAAAGCTGGGTAAAACGATCATAGCTCAGCTCCAACGACTTAGAGTTATTCTAGTCTTATGGTTTCCTACTGATGCTTCAAAGATGAGTTCGAAAGCGATCGGACATTGCGGAAGGTTTTTCTTCTGAGACTCAGCAGAAAAATTATGTTTTTTGAAATCTGACATGAAAACAGCAAACTTTCAATACATCCGTGTATTTTCATACTATATTAAATGTGAATATTTCTAAAACTTATTATCTCGAAAATATAATGTCCTAAAACAATGAAAATCATCGTACAGATTAATCTAAATGAGACTTTCATTTGTAGAAAGTTTCACATCGAAATTCGAAAATATGATTCTCCCGCAAAAGTCACAGATCCATAACGAAAATTCACTAACAATTTGATATCTCGAATACACTGTACTATGATTTCGAATCGTATTAGATTTATTCTGATATAGAGGTAAACATGTAATCTGATAAAGATGCTGCTAAAAAAAGATAAGAGTTTTTCGAAGAGAAAAATCTTCAGCGACACTTCGATCTCGTTACATGACGAAGTAGGGATACAACACATCCAAAGCTTTGGTATAATAAGCTATCACATTTTTGGTAGAAAACTTCCTACCAATAGAACAATTGTGTTCTATTTAGTTTTTTGTACTTTCTTTCGAATAAATGAATTTTATATGTAAATTCATTGTTAACTAACCTGAGCAGCTTGTAATTCATCAAGACGTTTTTGATGATCTTTTTTGACATTTTCAAGTTTTTTCAAAGCATCTCGTTCTTTTTGTACGATGTGTCCATCTAATCGTTGTGCTTCAAGTTTAGAGAAAAATTCATCAACTGCCTGATAAAAACAAAACAAAACAAATCAAATGATTTATAAAGATTATCAAAAAAAAAAAATCTACTCTATCAAATGTTGGTAACTCAAGATATGATTTTAATTCGAATTGTTTAAATAAAAACGGATGAAATTCTTCATAACTAGAAGAAAAGAATTTTTTTTGAACATAATAAAAACATTTTTTTTTATAATACCTAAGAAGAGATGCTGAACCTTCTTGTCGATAGGTTATATATCCCTAAAATTTGAAATATAAAATTCCGAAAAAAAAAAACTTTTTTCCTTACTTTACATTCGCCACTATCTGCTTGTTTTAAATAATCCATTGCTTGAATTAATTGTTCATGTAATTTGGGAGCATCTATTATGCAAAAAAAAACAGAAATATAAACAATAGTATACATATCCACAATTTAAAAAAATCAAAATTTAAATGAATCACTTAATACTTTCTATGCAAAAGGATAGTCTATTAAAATAACTATTTTTCGAAATCTTCCTGAGTTGGAATTTTTTTATTTTTTTGAAAATGAAATGTGTAGAAATGTAAAGAAAAGCAAGCATTCTATACAAACTAGCGGGAACCCATGCATACTACACGGCTAGTTTTTCCTTTCACCCAGTTACAGCCATATCAACCTTATGTATATAGATGAGGGTGTGAGTGTTGCTCAATTGTATTGAAAGACGTATATTCTTCCTTGAAGTAAATAGCCATTAATCATACATTACATTGCAAAAAAGTACTTAACCCCCCCCCCCCCCCTCAGAAAAGATTTTCCACTTAAGATGGTCCTTTTGGGCTGAAATTTTCAGGAATGAGTGATCTTGGAGAGATACGCTTCTGGTAAAAATTTCAGATCGATTGGTCGCACTAGACCGGATATCCAGCTGATTCACAGGTCATTTTTGGCCTTCAGGAGAATCGATATAACTTCGTCGTAGGATGGGGTAGAGAGCTCGGGTTGGTGTCAAATTAAAGCCAATGTGAGTATGCAACTTTTGTCCGAACAGAATTTTGAAATTCAATCTCATTCATTTTTTATGAGCATTTTAGTGGGATGGTCTTAAAATTAGCATAAAAAATGGTGGTCCAACGACAGTAAATCCTACTTTTCTCAGTCCAGGAACCAACTATAAAAAATCGGTTCGGACAAAAATTTACTCTCATTAAGACCTTTAAAACAAAAAAAAATTATTGGTTATAGTTTGAGACAGGACGGAGTTATTTCAATTTTTCTGTCTGGAAACCGTATTTTGAGAAAAACGGTAAAGAAATTTTAGAACTGGATTTTTTCATTCAAATCCAGAAAAAATCATATTACAATGGTATATTATTAATTCATTCCAGTGGATCGTTTTAGACTACGTAAGAGATGAAGGTAACTAACGCCATCTGACATGCTGGGTAATATAAAAGTGTTCTACTCAATGCTAATGCAAGTGACAACGCAGTTTTTTCAAAACTGAAACACCTGAAAATTTCTCCGAAAATATGGTAGTAGAGTCAAAGTTTTATATGATAAGTCTTTGAAAATCTGGTCATTTTCCAAAAAACTATATATATTCTGAAAGAGGAAGCTTCGCCGCATCTTTCTGTGATAAAAACTCAACTTCGATATTCCCTTGAAAAATTCGATTTTCTAAGGGGGGGGGGGGGCTTAAGCCATCCTTGTAATGAACACTACTTGAGACCAATAGGATTCTATACACAGAGGAGAAAACTTTTGGGTAGTGGTATATTGGAAAAACCAGACAATCAATTAGGTAAAAGATCAATTTTTCAGCATCACTGTAAATATCAGAATAAAGTTTTACTTTTCGTACAAGAAAATTTCCAATATGAGTATATGAAAATATGATTGACTACACGATTGGAGAGTTTTACAATGGGTAAATTGGATTGAGAATTTTATTTATCGAATGTTTAAACTAGAAAGTCGATTTTGAAGATGAGCACAACATTTTTAATGAAAATTTCACTAAAATAGCCATAACTCCAGAAGAAAGATTCATGAACATGAATCCTTCTCGATTTTCTTATCAAAATACATCATATTTTATTAAACTAAGATGATGGAAATAAAATTTCACAACAACGTATTTATGGTTCTTTTTTTGCTATCTAATGCATTCTGTACCAAGATTTCCTAGATGAATTATAATAATAGAGTTTCTCAAAATCAGATCATAGAAACTATTTTTTTTCTAACAACGTCATTTTAAGAAGAACAAAATGATGAGTCACTGCATTTTCTACAACCTTCTCTTAAAAAGATAAAAATAGTACAAAAACTATAAGCGATACCTCATTTTGTTTAGCATGTTGAAAAAAATACTGTATCCAATTTTTTTAGAAATCTTATTATAGAAAACTCCATTGTCTATTAAAATTACCATTTGGATTTCAGCTGATTTCTTAACATTATACAACAGAAAAAAAAAATACATTGTTGTTAAACTTTTTTTCTCACTAGTTGAAAACAGAACTAACCTTGTTCAATATTAAATGTTTTTCCTAATATACAACTTTCACTATTCAATCCAGCTTTTAATAAACATTCATCAAGTACAGCTGAACCAAAAGCTAAAATTTAAATAATATAAAAATAAACTTTCGAAGAAAAAAAAAGCAAAACAATAATCATACGTAAAAGAGGATTAAGAATTTTTTTAATTGATTCATTTGGTTGTGCATTGTTTAATAGTTCAATTAATCTATTAATGAAAAACAAAATAATAATAATAATTTTTAATCTAAAACAAACTTTTCAAGTGAAATAAGATCTTCAGGTTGTTTAACACTATCGACAGCATATATTTCATGAACAGCAAATTTTTCATCTGTTGTTACATCTGTTCTTTTACGAATTAATGATAATATTATATAATTAAAATCTGTTAAAATAATATTTCCCTATTGAAATAAATTTTTAAATAATAATTCAAATGAAAAAAAACAAACAAACAAATCTCCAATACTTTATCATAAAGTTCAACAATAAGATGATAAGCAGCTTCACCACTACCAAATTGTAAATCAATAATACGATCAATACCTAATTGTTCAATAGATTCTAATCGACGTGATTTAAGATGTTTTCGAAGCTAAATTAAATTTTTATTTGAAAAGAAAAAAGTTTTTCATTTCTTTTTTTTTTACTTTCATAGCAAAACCAGATGGAATTAATCCTTTTGGCCAGTCAAATTCCGTTGTATGTATACGTATACCTGATTCAATAAGTAATACTCCTTTATCATCCGGTCTAGATAATCAAAAATTATATTTACAATAAAAATATTAGAAATTTTTACTTTGAAAATTTAATCAAATAAGTTTTATTATCAACATCATAAACATTAACCACTCGAATGCCGACAAAGCTACATATAAAAATCAACGACTTTTAAAAAAAAACAAAAGTCATATTAAATATCAATACCGTTTCCGAACTGCTGCAATAGACGCTTTTAGATCAAGAGTTGTAAATCGAGTCTTTTTAGCTGGCATATATGCGATGATTGAAATACTTTTTGTAATTGAAATTTATTTCAACATTATTATTTTATATATTAGTCATAGAGAATGTTATTCGTTTGCTAAATACATCAACCAATAGCATTTTTAATCATCTAGCGCCATCAAATGAAAATATTTTTAGAAATGATGGGCTATGTCATATCGAACGATGTTGAATAGATAAGTTTTCCAAGGTATTTGAGTTTTTTTTGACATCCAAAAAAAAACACAAATTAAGATAGAATATAAAATAAAAGTAGTGTGTCATACTTGACCTTCTCTTACAGCGGTTCCCAAAATATATTCGACATGGTTTATTTTCAATTTTCTTTATTCAACTATCGCAAACGCTAATAACAATCTAAATAGTGATTCGTGTATAGAGAATTTTATTTCCAACAAGAATTTTTCATGAGCAGAATTTCGTTTGAATTACCGAGAGAAATGTTTTCTAATCCGAAATAACCGAAAAACAACCGACTTTTGTGCCTTCCGTAAGATTGATTTATCTCAATTGTTTCACTTTGTAAAGAACTGTTTGCTCTAACATTCTGGATAATTCAAACAGAATTCTAGGAAATGAAAAAAATAACGTGTGTTTCAATTATTGAAAAATTCTATCCATTGGAAAACTAGCAATCATTGTCATCTTCGAAAATTCTCTATCCCAAATCGCTATTCGAATTGTTAGTAACGTTTACAGCAATGAAAAAATAAAATAAAAAGTAAAAACTGTACAATTCTATTTAAACTTCCGATTAACTTGTTTAAATTCTCTATATCTTGAAGACTTAATTCAAAATTTCTGAAAATACAGCGAATACTCACGAAAAAAGATGCTAGATCACTTCAAAAAACAGGCCATAAACATATTTGGGGGCATGTTCCTTCGTAAGTTTTTTTTTTCTTTCTTCTTCTGTCATAGGCTATACTAAATTCTATTTATAATCGAGAAAATTATTTTCAAAGTTACTATTCATTATAAATAATGGGTTTCCAATAAATTCTATGCTTCAATAAAAATTAGTTTATATGTAAAGAAAGTGGGACTCACATCCAACTATATCTATATAAATTTCGAGTAATTAGAACGATGTTTTAAATGATATTATCTCTTTGAATAATAGTGTTATAAATTGAAGAAACGTGATGACTAAAATCTCGAAATCGATCAGTATGTTTTTTTGTGTAAGAAGTTTTAATAAATTATGAATTCATCGTATGTAACATAACACAAGTATACAAAATATCACATAGTATTTAGAGTGTGGGTGTTGCTATCTTCTACCCATATTCTATTTATCACGTTTCTTCTGCTTTTATCAGTATTATTAAAAGAGATAATGTTATTGGATAATATACCATTTGAAACATCGTCCTAACTAATTAAAACTCATCTAGATATACATTCGGTAGGGATCACTCGTTATAATGACATACAAATTGTTTTCTTGGAAGTAATAAAATTTCTCACTAATATTTTTTTTTCGTTTAATAGGTTGGAATATATCAATGGTAATTACTCAGATCGATACGGAATCCGTGAATAACACATTCTTATTTTATATTCATAATCACGCACAAGATGTAATAAAATAAAAAACATATCTCTATTTACGTGTTAATGACCAACTAATTATTTAGCAATATAATTATGAACATCTGTATATTTGTCTTTTTTTCATATATGATATTATTGAAATCATTTTTACATAAAATAATATTCAGAATCAAACTAATATCAATATATCATACACGAGCGACACTGCAATAAAATATTATTTGGAGGCAAGTTTTTTTTTTTTTTTTAAAAAACCAAGTAAGTCATGACGTTATCAATAACTATAAGAAAGTAAGTATTTATCTTTCAAGACACTATTTAAAAGTACTTGGTATGAAGGGCACGTATTGGATTTGTTCTTTTTATCATTTTGTTTTTATTTGCAAAGGCTTTATTGTACTTTGGACTTACTGTAGGTTTTTTTTTTTCCTTTTTGAGATTTCTATTTCGACGAACATCCTAATATAACAACAATGTCTACTGTTCCAACAAAAAAACAACCGTTCAAAGTAGCTGATTTAAGTTTAGCTGAATGGGGTCGAAAAGAAATCACATTAGCCGAATATGAAATGCCCGGTTTAATGCAATTACGTCATACATATGGTTCAACACAACCATTAAAAGGTGCACGTATTGCTGGGTGTCTTCATATGACTGTTCAAACAGCTGTACTCATTGAAACATTAATTGCATTAGGAGCTGAAGTATAGATTTAGTGTATTTTTTTGTTTTTACATAAATAATTTTATTATTTAATAAATAGGTTCAATGGAGTAGTTGTAATATTTTTTCAACACAAGATCATGCTGCAGCTGCTATTGCTAAAACTGGTATACCTGTTTATGCTTGGAAAGGTGAAACTGATGAAGAATATATTTGGTGTATTGAACAAGTAAAAATTTACTTTTTTTTGTTTTGTTTTAAGAAGGAAAAAATTATTTTTAGACAATTTATTTTGGTGATGATAATAAACCATTAAATATGATTTTGGATGATGGTGGTGATTTAACTGGTATTGTTCATGATAAATATCCTGAATTAACATCTGGTATTTATGGTATAAGTGAAGAAACAACAACAGGTGTACATGGACTTTATAAAATGCTTAAACAAGGAAAACTTACAATACCAGCTATTAATGTTAATGATTCAGTAACAAAATCAAAATTTGATAATTTATATGGTTGTCGTGAATCACTTATTGATGGAATAAAACGTGCAACGGATATAATGATTGCTGGTAAAGTTGCTGTTGTTGCTGGTTATGGTGATGTTGGTAAAGGTAGTGCACGAGCTTTACGAAATTTTGGTGCTCGTGTTCTTATTACAGAAATTGATCCTATTAATGCTTTACAAGCAGCTATGGAAGGTAAAGAATTTTTTCAAAAATGAAGAGTAAAATGATTTTTTGTTTTTGCTCCATTGATTTCAATTAACAAATGTAATGCTTTTCTTATTTGAGACTAGATTTATTTATTTATTTATTTATTTAATGGAAACTTTGAGATTGATTTTGAGAATATTTTACTCAATTCATCGACTAGACAACTTCGTTAGATGATAAGTCTTTATTTTTATTTCAAATAATAATTTTCCGAAGAAGAAGATTTATCAAAATGACTTTTGATAAACTTTAATATATAAAATTATTTCAGGTTATGAAGTAACTACAATGGAAGAAGCATCCAAAATAGGACGTATGTTTGTCACAGCAACTGGATGTCGAGATATTATTTTATCTCAACATATGCTTCAAATGCCTGATAATGCTATTATTTGTAATATTGGTCATTTTGATATTGAAATTGATGTTGCTTGGATAAATAAAAATGCAGTTTCGAAAGAAATAATCAAACCACAAGTAAATCGACCGAAACAAAAAAAAACAGAATTGAATTTGTTTAAATTATATAAAAATATTTAAAGGTTGATCGATATCAATTACCAAATGGACGTTCAATTATTTTACTTGCCGAAGGTCGACTTGTCAATCTTGGTAAAAATTAAGAATTTCACAATTAATATGTAATTTTCTTTTTCTTTTTCTATTATAGGTTGTGCTCATGGTCATCCAAGTTTTGTTATGAGTAATTCATTTTCAAATCAAGTATTAGCACAAATTGAATTATTTACTAAAAAAGGTCATTATGCTATCGGTGTTTATGTATTACCTAAGAAGGTAAAAATTAGACTTTTGTTTGTTTTTTTTTTCTATGAATTTTTTTGTTTTAATTTCTAGCTCGATGAAGAAGTTGCCGCTGCTCATCTTCATCATTTAGGTGTTCGTTTAAGTAAAATGACTACTGAACAAGCAAATTATTTGGATTTAAATGCATCTGGTCCATTTAAACCCGAACATTATCGTTATTAAATTGTAAAAAGAATACGAACATTCCATCGAAGCTTTTCTCCATTTAGTTTAATAACGTTTTATGATTATGTTCGTGTCACAATAAAAAAAAAACAAGAAATATGGAGATAATTATAATAAAATCCATGAGAATATATAAATGATTTATATTTTTTTATCAATTTAAGTGAAAATTAAAATCATTTCATTGAATAAGATTTTTAGTATTTAATCGGTTTTTTTGTAAAATTATTCGCATAAAAGTTATGATTATTCAAGAATGAGTAGATCTTAATCTGAGATGTTCACTTTCAAAAATCTTCTTCCTTGTTGCATATGTATATGTATTTTAACGAATATGATACGGTGCTTGTTTTACTCAAAGCATCACTAACAATTGTCTAATTAAGGGTCTCCCTTCAAAAATCGATCTCAGCCCAGTAATATCTAAATGCCATGAAACTTTGAGGATATGTTGGTACTGTAAAAGGATGTCTCTGGTAAAATTTTCAGCCTCCTGTCCTGATGCATAAGGGAGATATGACCTAGACAAGAGTCGAAAATAGCTTATCGCGTCTCCAAAAATTCTCTGTAAGTGTTCATTCAATATGCTTGATTGTTTTTTTTGTTTGAAAGAGCATGTTAGGATGTAGTGCCTATGAGCGCCATATCTTTGTTTACTCTTATCTTTCTGAAGGAAAAAAGACCTGACAAGTTCAAGCACTGAAAAACCTCTCAAAAACAAATGACGCTCATATTATAAAATTGCTTATCAATATAATAATAACAAAGCTTTATCAAAAAAAGGCTCTCATAGAGACTGCAGTCTTTGATGCTCTTTTAAACAAAACAAAAAATATTTGACTTTATATCGGATTATAGTTGACTTTCGCTGGAGACGCGTCGTTCGAGCACCATTTTGAGCAAAAACGAAAAAGATATTTGAGTTTTTCGAATAGAGGCAATTAAAAACTTTGAAAATTTATCGGAAAAAAGAAAGTATCGATGAAAATTTTTTTAAGGAAGGCCTCCTTAAACAAAATCTCTTCGAGGCTAACATACATTTATTTTCTAAGCTTT